GAGCTTATTGGTTAGAACCCTGCAGTAAATCTTTCCCTAATGCAAATGTAATTTAAAAAAAAAAATTCAAAATATTTCACATTCTTAAACCTGGCACAGATGCTGAAGAAAATGACATTGTTAAATACGCCAGTTACAAAATGCATCAAGAAGACATTTACTCTGCAGCATGGCCAGGTTTCAGTGATAAGGGATTTATGCACTGTGGGCTGATTACTTTTACCACAAAAACCTTGGTAATATCTGCATTTTGCCTTATTTAGCTTGTATGTGATTTGTTTAAAAAAAAAAAAAAACAAAAACCCAAAACCTGGACACAACAGTTCGTTATTATGAGGAAAAACTGTAAAGCTGAAATGCTCCATTAAAGAAAGTGTAACTGCTGGACATGATGATGCACATGGCTGTAATCTTAGCACTGGGGAGGCTGAGGCAGGAGGATTGTTGTGAGCTGAAGGCCAACCTGAACTGCGTAGTGAGACCCTGTCTCAGAAAGAAAAAAACTGGGGCCGGGGAAATGGCTCAGTAGCATAAGTCTGAGTTCAATCCCCCTTTCTCCCCGCGGCCCCCCTCCAAAAAAAAGAGCTGCCCTTAAGGCAGCATGAGCCAGTCAAAAAAAAAAGAGAAAAAATCCAAACATTTATCTTTGTCCTGCCGTGTTCTTATTAAGTGAATTGTAAGTGAATGCTGTTAAGGCCAGAAAAATGTAGATTTTTGAGGTAGGTGGGATAGGGAGCTAATTTGGGAGGTTTTGAACCTTTTAGGAAACAATCATCTCAACTTGTAAGTAGGTCTTTTTCTCACGAGTGACCTAATACTCCTAGAAAGGCCTGGCCCTTATGTAATGATGAGTTTGTGCAGAATCATCCCAACCTGTTTGAAGACTGCAAAGCAGCACCACTGTCTCTGGTCTCTGCCCGCTGCAGCAGGTCTCGCTGCCTGGGCAGAGCTGCTGAGCTCTCAGGGTGTGGCCAGCAGCCTCTGTTGTGTCTGCACAGGTCACAGGGGATCATGCACCCAAGGCCTCCCTCAGCCAGTGCAGGTAGCAGCTCCTCTGCCTTCTTCCAAATTCTGCTCTGTGTCACCAGCCAAGCCCTGTTATGGCCTGAAGGCTACAGTCTACATCTTTCTTCCAGGTCTTCTGCCCTGCCTCCCAGTGCTGGGTGTTCTCAGGCACTGAATGCCACCGCTTGTGGGCTGGGGAGCAGCAGGTCCAGCAGGCTTTGGGGAGATGGCCCCTCTCCTCCTTCTGGGCTCCTTCCCCAGCCAGTGCCTCTGCCCAAGTGAGCAGACTCCACTGGCCTTGATGCCTGCTCCACTTCCCTGTCCCAGGAAGTCCACTGCACTGTCACTTTGTCTCCCAGCACGTCTCTTTGTTCGTCTTCATGTGTTCCTTCTGCGGACCAAGCTAGCCCTTTGGCTTGTCCCTCAGGATCGCCCCTCTGCACCTTTTCTTCAGTGGTGTGTCCTGGCTCAGCGGCTGAGCCCCTGGCACAGCAGGTTCCTGAAAAGTGGACATGAAGCCAGCTTCCCACATGCTCTATGTTCTCAGCTGCAACTGAAACATTTATAATGCAAGCTCTGTCTGTAGCCTGCTCTGCTCCAGCTCCTTGCTGGGCCCCAGCTTCTGCTCAGAAAGCACTCTGGCTTATTTGCTGGAGGCCAAGGAGGCTTACCATGTCACCTCCCAGGGGCATTCCCGGCCCAGCTCAAGACATAGGACCTTCAGGGCCTCCATGGCTTAAGGTAGTGTGCTGAAGAGAAGGCCCTGGAACCACCCCGGCCTGTTTGATTGTCCAGGCCCACCTTGCAGATCTGTAGACTGGGGAGGTGGGCACTGCAGAGTGCTAGTGCTGGTGTCTTCTGCCCTGGACCCTTGATGGGCTCTCTTGGCAGCAGCCACACTTTGCAGAGCCTTTCTGATGCTAAAGGGTGTGCATGCGAGGATGCATGTGCAGGGCTTGCCGCTCCTGGCCAAGCATACGTCCTTTCTGTTCGCTTCCAGAGCATCCTCTAGATCTGCTGTTTCCAGGTCACGTTTTGGGAAACTTACCTCTTATTTGCATTTTTCCATATAAAAATGGTATAATTTGAACATTTCCATAAATAAGAAAAAAAAAACCCAAATTCACCACCTTGAATATGTCCTGTCAGAAATTTTTCAGACAGCAGGGAAAGATGAAGAGCCCTCTGGTTTACCTGCACTCAAGATTTTCTGGACATATTCTAGAGAGAGCAACTCTACCATGGTGTCTTGATTTCCATAGTGAGGAGACAGCAGTCTTCTTTCATTTGTAGAGAGGAAAAAGTTCAGGCCCAGAGAAATGGTTTCTTAAGGTGGTGGGAAATAGATTTACCTTCCATCTTGTAAGTTACAAATATGTGTTTTCTCCTATGTAGCTCAAGACAAGGAACATGGTTTAGGATAAAGATTGTCCAGAAATAATTGAAACAGTGCAATCTGTTAATGAATTATTCTGTAGAATTATTTTTTGTTTTGTTTTTGAGACAGGATCTTGCTGTATAGTTCAGGTCTTTGAACTAATTATATAGACCAGGCTGGCCTCAAACTTGTGGCAATCCTTGTGCCTCAGCCTTGCAAGTGCTGGTATTACAGGCATGTGAAGTCACACTTAGTTTCTTATGTAGAGCTCTTGGTGTATTGACTTCTGTACACACACATTGAAGTAGTTTATAAACAGATAGTAAACCCTCACTGACCTTTCCAGATCTTTCTCGGATCCCAGAGTAGCTGCAGAGATGCCCACCCTGGCTTTCAGCAGAGCAGTTGAGTTTGAAAAGCACTGGTTCTAAGATACAGTGACCAGCTACAGCCAATAAGCTGGAAGTTTTTACATGCCAACCCATTTGATTTGGTTTTCTGCCAATATTTACAGGCTGTTAGCTTTTAGATATAGTTCAGTATTGTAGGTTGTGGGGCAACACGTCACATGCTTTTATTTACTGGAGGGTTGACACAAAGAAGGTACAGACCAACCTGCTGAGTAACATCCACTGCTGCTCCTATCGGCTTCCTCCTGGATGAACCACCTTTTTAAAATGGTGATGATTGTATTGGTGGTGGATTGCCAATTGATTACCAACTTTTTATGCCCAACTGAACTAGTATGGTTCTGGGTGTGGGAGGGCTACCTGAGAATTATCGCCAGCAGATAAGAGGCAGAACTGGACAGGCTATTAGGTTGTTAGGGAAGCTATTGGAAACTGTTGTGAGTTGCTGGTTTTCTTGGGCTGTTCTGCTGGAGGACCTTGTCATGCTGGCTGTCCTGATGAACTTGGATGTTGTCAGAGGAGGAGCTCAGGACCTTATTGTCGCTGAGAATGGCCAGTGTTCACTTCGGGGGAGCACTGGTCCTCATCTTGAGCATTGTATCCTGGCCATAGCTCAGTCTCCTGGAGAAGCTTGTGATGTTGGCTTTTTGGCCGGGAACTCAGCTTTCTTCGTCTTTGGAGTAGCTAGGGACCTCACTGTTGCTGAGGATGGTTGTGGTACTTTTCAGAGAAGCCCTGGTTCTTATCTTGAGTGTTTTTTTCCTGGCTCCAGTTCAGATCCCTCAGCCTGCTAGCACAGATCCTTCATCCTGCTGTTACAGACTTTCTAGCGTCCACCACTGACCTTTGGACCCTCCAAGGGTCATGAAGTGGGCCTACATGAGACATTGTTATGGACTCTAGGCCTCTAGTTGGACTCATGGGGAGGCATTGGTTTGGGCTCTAGGTTTTCATCTCTACTCATGCAGGGCATTATCATGGGAAGTAGGCACTCAGCTGATTCTTCAGTCTTTAGTATGTGGACAGATTTTCTGTACTCTTATGTATATGACTTTTTAGGTGGTTTTTTTTTTTTTTTTTTTTTTCTGTCTTTTTGAGACTGAGTCTCACTATAAAACACAGGCTGGTCTCAAACTCACCCTGATCTCCCTGCCTCAGCCTCCCTAGTGCTGAGATGACGGGCATGTACCACTATGTCTAGCAGGGGTGATTGATTATAAAATCTTATAAAATGTGTCCTGTATAGTATTGTTCCTTTTGCGAGACTCAAAACTGTAACAGTGTTTTAAAATAGAATTCAGGGATTTGGGGTGGGTAGTGGAAAACAGAATACCTAAAAATACTTCAGGGACATATAATATTTCTAACTCCCCAGATTTCAGGTGGTTTAAGAGCAAGATAAAAAATTTCACTTGGTGACTAGAGTAAGCCAGTTAGATATTAGTAGCACAGCTGTTTTTAGTGGTTGATCTGCAGGCCAAATTTTTCCTATTTTTCTTTTTTGTTGTGTGAATACCTTTTGCAGCCTCAGGACCATTTACCAGCAGTTACCCTGTTTCCAAAGTCACATCAGAAGGGTGTTGCTGTGTTCATCGTGGTCTCTGTGGCTGACGGTATTCAGTCTCCTCTACTTCCTCTTCCATTGAATCCCCCCTGCTCACTACAACCATCGAGATCTATGGTGATGGGATGCTACTGCCATTCTAAAGAGAATATGGTGTTGTCCTCATTCTATTACTAAGTAATTATCATCCAGTAAATGAGGACATTTTGTCATGAAGGCATCTCAGAAAGATTTGTGAACCAGGGGCAAAGGTGTCCGTGTCTAAGCAGTTTAGAACTAGAAGGCTGGGGATGGTCCCTGGAGATGGCTGCTTCATTCCCCCCCTTGTGTGTGATGCTGACCACTTGTAGGCTCCGGTTCCCCAAGGGCTCCTATTGTAAATGTGTCCTGGCCTTTTCCTGTACCCTTGGGAATACAGCAGTTGGGATTCTCCCAGCCAGGAACAGAAATGTGTGTAGAGGCACTGCCCGTTGCCCTCAGTGGTACCCAGTGTTGTCAGTGAGCACTGGTACCCCAGAGTGGGGGGCCTTCCGCTCCGGGGAATCCAGGACCTCACCTGATTCGCCTTTGAAGGCACTGGTGAAGGGGCAGGCAAGTGGTAGGTACACGTGCTGGTCTGATCGGGTACTGCCTCTCACCCTAGGAAATACTGTCTGGTGTGGTGGTCCTCTCCAGTAAGGATTCCGTCCAGCACCAGGGAGTGTCCTTGACCATGGAAGGGACTGTGAACCTGCAACTCAGTGCCAAGAGTGTGGGCGTGTTTGAAGCTTTCTACAATTCCGTGAAGGTAAGATGCTCCATTGGGTTTCGAGTGCTGAGGGGGTTCTTCACTTGCCTTTGTTATTTTGCAAAGCATGGTGGTCCCCATCCTGTACTTGCTGGTTAACCTGAAGACATTCACATACTTGTTTCTGAATATTTCCTGTTATAGGGTCTGCTTATTTTTATTCTTGTTTAATACTTTTACCATTAGAAAGCTCTCCCGAGAAGTTGCTTGTGGTACCTGTTGTATCCAACTTACTTCTTAGTTGTGTATATTGCTGTTGTTGGATTTGCTATTAAGGTGTGACGTAGGTGGAGCAAGTGGCTTTTGTGTCTTTTACAGTAGTTTTGTGTTCCAGAATGTAAACTCCTGAATTCAACTGTTTCCTCTTCCTGAGGGCCACGTCAACTCTTTTATTGAAGGGGAAGAGTTAAGAGAGAAGGCAGTTAACAGTGTTCTGGTGTAGGAGCGTTCCATGTCTTTATAATATATTTTAATACATTAGCACTTAGAGATTCTCTTCCTATTCCGTGAGTTTTCTCAGGGTGCTGGTAAACCCAAGGTAGAAGAACACACAAGCTGTAGTCAGTGGTTTGCAAGGCAAAGGGCTTAATACAGGAGACCTAATTTGTGGGATTATGTTGTATTATTCACTCAAAAAGTCAAATGTAGAAGAGTGCGAAAGATCTAACCATGTGCTAGAGACCTGAAGGATCCAGCTTAGGGCCTGGAGCCCATGGCAGTGTCCCCTGTGAGTCCGGCAGAGGTTCAGAGCCCATAGCAGTGTGCCACGCAAGTCCATATCAAGGAGCTGCACTGGGAAGGCCCAGTGGTTAGTGGTGCAAGCTAGAAAGTCTGTGCCAGCGGGATGAAGGCTCTGTGCCAGCAGGCTGAGGGTCTGCACTGGAGCTAGGGAGTGACATTCAAGGTAAGGACTAGAGCTCCCCCAAAGTGAACTGCAGCCATTCTCAACAAAAGTGAGGACCAAGCTCCTCTGATGATGAAAACAACTGAGCTCATATCAGGAAAACCAGCGCGACAAGCTTCCCCAAGAAAATCAACAGCATATCATCTTCTCCCTTTATGCCATCAACAATCTTCAGGTGGGACTTCCATGCCCAGAGCCACCCACACTCAGTTCCCTTGGGCCTCCCCACTCAAGCTGACCCATCAGTTAACCCACCACAACGCAGATGTATGTTGTGAGCATTGCCTTCCTCCTTGGTGGTTCCACTGGAGGGCTGTGTGGCCCGAGGGCTGGAGGAAAAGCCCACCCTGTCCGTGCAGCCACCCTGGAAGCAGGCAGCTCAGCGTTTGTGTACGAGGATGTGCATTGGCCTCCTGGCCAGGCAGCTGTATGCTGCTGTGTTGTCCTTTGCATCCTGCAGATCCAGGTAGTTAGGGAAGTGAAATGAGCGATTTGTGCAGAAGAGAGGGATGTGTGTAATGAACTCCTACTGTGCCTGAGTTAAAAAATGGAGCTGGTGGGGTGTGATGGTGCACATCTATAATCCCAGCACTGAGGAGGCTGAGGCAGGAGGGACAGCATGAATTTGAGGAGAGCCTGGGCAACCTAATGAAACCCTGGCTCAGACACACACACACACACACACACACACACACACACACACAAAATGAAATCAACTCAACTAGGCATGATGGTCCATCCCTGTAATCACAGCACTCTGGAAGGCTAAAGCCTAATAGTGCATGCCCACCTGGGGAACTTAGTGAGAAACTGAAAAACAAAAGATTGGAGGGTGTTCCATCCCCTGTACCACCAAGGGGAAAAAAAGATAACAGTTCACTCCAGGACTCTTCTGCAGACCCAGTACTCTGTTGCCAGAGACACCAGGAAGGGCTGGTGGCATCTGGGAGCCCAGATCGCTGTGTTTCCAAGGAGGTAGTTAATAGACTCTGTCATTTGAGGGGGCTCAGGCAAGTATGTGCTGATGGACTGCGTTGATTTTTGTTCACAGCCAATTCAGATTATCAACAGCACCATAGAAATGGTGAAGCCAGGAAAGTTTCCCAGTGGCAAGACAGAAATTCCTTTTGAATTCCCTCTGCATGTGAAGGGCAACAAAGTTCTGTATGAGACTTACCACGGCGTGTTCGTCAACATCCAGGTGAGTGTCCCATTTGCCATCACTCATGCCTTTATCATCTTCCTGCTGAAAACTGGCTGTTCTTCGCTTCATTGAAAGGTACTCACTGTCCCAAGGATTGAATACTCGATTGAATCCTGAGCCCTTACATGCACTCTCTTCTGTGTTGGTTTCTCACTTTTACTGTGCTAACCACATTTTGTGTGTGAGTGTCACTTAGGAAAGGAACCATGCTTTAACTGTAAAATCCCTTGTGCTTCACTCAGGCTACACGGACTCTTTGGTCACTTTGATTGCTGGGTGATAGATATGCCCTGACTTCTTCCTGGCACCAGCACGTGACTTGTCTATTTTATTCTTATAAGTATCTCTTTGTTTAATACCCAGAGGCGACTACTGCCTCAGATAGGCTTGTGTTCTGCACTGAACAAACCTTGTAAATGAGGGGAAGTGGATTTATGATTTCCTGTCTACCTCTGCTGGATCAGGACGCTTTCACAGCTGCCATTGTTGTCTTTGGAGCGGAGCGGATCGTGACTCAGAGCTAGAGAAAGCCTTTCCTTTATTCTGAGGAAAGAAAGGTACTTTTGTGCTGCCCGCCACACAGTGGTTCCCCCCACCAGATGAGACAGCACTCTGCCGTTTCTGTCCTTGTGACATGGCTGACAGGGATTTGTGTAATTTAGAAATTTTCATTGATCACCAGGATTTGGTAGGCTCCATTCCCCTGATTAGAACACCACACCTTTAAAATAGAAATCCTCAAAACACACAGGAGGTTTAACTGGAGATTTGTTTGCATGTAAGTTTCATGAGTCACCCAAAACATTGGTCAGATGTCTGCTGATGCACTCTATTTGTGGGAAGAAAACCTGTGTTCAGGCCTTTTCATTAGTGCACCTGTTTCAGGCTAGACACATTCTTATGCACGGTACAGGCTTTCCATCTGCATTTATTTCTGTCTTCTAGAATCATTTCAGAGTTAGAGTCTCAACGCATTTCATGTGAAAATATGTCCACCTCCAAAAGAAAAATAGAGAAATTCTCCTATAAGATCATAGTTAAAATTTTTGTACTTTCCAAAACTAATGTAACTCCTCAGATATCATCAATTCTCTGCTTGCATTCACATTCGTCATTGCATCTTCTGAGTAAATTTTTTTCAGGAGAAACTAGGGTTATGACTTTTTGATGCATTCTGTCCAGCCATGTATTAATTTAGTTACTGTACTTAACAGCTCTTTCCCTAATCTTATTTAGTAGAGAGGACAGTGACTTCCAGTGGCCAGTATGACTGACCTCAGCCTAGGGGTACACAGACTGTCACCCCTTCTTGGCACCCACTGCTGTCTTATTCTGAAGATTATGATTGGTATGTTATTTTGGATAAGGGCTTTGTTATGCCTTAGTGTTATGTTTCTCAAGTTATATCAAAAATTATATAGTACATACAGGGAAATGTGCCCATTTATAATTTGAATTGTGTTGCAGCAGCATTATGTAAAAAAATCACAAGCCATAATATAAAGGCTTTAAAATGTAGCCAGCATTAAATTCCTAACTCACAGGCTGTGGTTTACTGCAGTGTTGGCTTGTTATTTCTTAGGTGACAGTCTCATTATTTTTGCTTTCATTCTTTTCAGTCATGTTGAGCTTCCTTTCATCTTTATTTATTAGGTATTGTGTATAAGAAACTGTCAGTCTTTTCTAGTTGTTTTTTGTGCAGCTGCTTTTTCTTTTAAAAATTATTTAAATCCTAGGTGAGCTTTATTTTGTTCTACTCTGTGGCCATGCTAGCAGGGGTTTTCACTATCATACAGAATGTAGCAGTACACCTCATCTGCTGAAGTTGCATGTTCAGAGTTACTTTAGAGATTCTGGTTGTTCATCTGTCACCCCTTCTTGGCACCCATTGCTGTCTTATTCTGAAGATTATGCTTGGTACATTATAAATGCCCTGTAGAGGATTCTGTTAGCTCCAGTGGCAGACATCTTTCTTTGTTCCTATTAATGTCCCATTTACTGGTAGCCAGGGCAGAGCTGGTCTTGCACTTTGGATGCCTTGCAGAAGCTGGGCATCTGATGCCTTCTGACCTCTGGGAGTCCTAACTTGTGGGTCCCTCTTAAGTATCTGGGAAAGACTGTGATACAGTGAGCTGGCTTGGGGCTTGAGTTATAGCCCTGTCCTGATCCTGCAGAAGGGCTTTATGTGGGTCTTGGCTGTAGGCAGATGTTGAGGCCAGGTCTGCCTCTGTGGCCCCAGAAGTGACTTCCTGACCTTGCTCCTCTGACTAGTGAGGCAGCCATGGCATGGGCCAGGCTCAGTTTCTGGCCCATAGACTGAGCTCAGTGAGTGTTTGCTGAGAGATATGGACATGCTTTGATGATGGTTCTGTTGGCCTCCAGTCTTTGATCTATACCGTTAGAAGTAATCAAGACCGCACATGCAGACCTGACGCTATTTCTAGAACATACCTGCCATCTGTGTGTCCCCTTTGCCAGGCCTTTCTTCTGATCCTGAGCTGCACTCAATTACTAATTATTGTCCTCAGACCTAACAAGTAGTGGCAGAGCTGATAGCACCAATTCATACCACTCCACTCACAAATCACAGAAATCCAGCACAACTGGAGTTAGGCAGAAAAGGGACGTTGGATCATAGCAGCAACTGTTGCAGGGGGCAATGCGGCCAGCTTGATGACCAGGTGGCATCCTCAGGGCCACCTTCCTCCTCTGGTCAGGCCTTCCCTTGCTGTGGCAGAGCTGTAGTACGTGGTGTGTCGGGTAAGATCTGGCTGACGAAAGCCCTTTCCTACAGTCCCTGAGAAACTGACTTTACTATTCACTTTCAAACTAGACAGGGACACTGAGTTTGAGGCCAGCTTGCCCCAACTCTTTACTGAAAATGAGGGACAGAGCGTTCCCTGTGGGAGAGAAGTAGTCAGACCAGCCACGGCTCCTACAAGGCTGTGTGGGAGTTTCTCAGGGAGACGATACAAGGGTGATTGGCAAGGACAGTGGACGTGTATATTTGTTTTTCTTTTTGGTACAGGGTCTCGCTATGCAGTTTATGCTGCCCTTGAACTGTGTAGCTCAGGCTGGCCTCAAACTCAGTGTTCTTCCTGTCCCAGCCTTGAGCGCTGGTATCATCATGCTCGGCCATGAAGAGCTAGTTTTGAGAGTCCTCAGGTCTTTTTAAATTTTTTTTTGCCTTTGCCTTGGCCTTGACCTTTGTGGCACTGGGGGTTGAACTCGCCTTTGCACTGAGCTACATCCCCAATCCTTTTTTGTATTTTGAGATGGGGTTTTGCTAAATTGCCTGGGCAACTTGAATTTTAGATTCCCCGTCTCAGCTCCAGGGTGCTAGGGTTACACCCCTGTGCCACTACCCCTGGCTGTGACTTTGCCTTGGTAAACTAAATGCCCCTGAAAACAGGGTGACTGAGCCTGGCCTTGGTGCCTTGTCCTCCTGCAGAGTGAAGGTAGGTGGTCTGCAGTCTCAGAGCCTCCCACACACAGTGCATTGGATTCTCCCTGCAGCTGCTCACCAGCAGCCTTGCTTACAGAGGGAAGGCACAGGCCCAGGGAGGTTGTGGCACTTGGCTGGGCTCACTCAGGAAGTGGGCTGGCACACTGGGCCAGCTGCTGCGGGCTGCCCTCTCCTCCCAGCCAGTCGCCCGCAGAGGGGCTGGGCAGTAAGCTCCTGGTGTGGTTTCTATTGGCTGCTCTGCGTTTTCGTGGAAGTGCCTCTGTGTGGAATAGTAGCTCCCTGTTATCTGTATTAACTTTGAGTGACGTGTTCAGTGAACATAGTTGCCCTACACCATGGCGAGGCACCTGCCCCTTTGACACTCCTTCCAGGGGTGTGCAGAGCACACTAAAATGGCATTTCCTCCACTTTCCCCACCAGTATACGCTGCGCTGTGACATGAGGCGGTCGCTGTTGGCAAAGGACTTGACCAAGACCTGCGAGTTCATCGTCCACTCAGCTGTAAGCCTCTGCTTGGGGTCTGCGACAGCCCTGTTGTCCAGCAAGTAAGGCGGCCACATAAGTGGCCCATTGTTCAGTACATAGGGTGGTCAGGATGGTGGCAGTGGGAGTGCCAGTGTCCTAGCCTGTGTGCACCCCGACCTCATGTATGCAGGTCGACGCTCTGGGTATGTGGCACAGCCCGAGGGACAGCCACGGAGTTAGCTCTTATTTTAGGAGTGCAGTGGATGGCAGGCACCTCTGACTTAAATTCCAACACCTGTAACAACTCAGAAATATAGATATCTATGTCCTCCTTCTACAGATGGGAAACGGAGTCCCGGGGGTGGAGAGAGGTGAGGAAGAACACGGCGCTGTCCTCTGGCTGAGCTGTGCTTGTGCTTGAGCCCCAGCGCCACAGCTGCCCCGCTGCCAAGGCCCTTGGCCTGCTGACTGTTTACCTCCTATCTAGCCACAGAGAGGGAAGCTGACCCCGAGTCCTGTGGACTTCACCATCACGCCGGAGACCTTACAGAATGTCAAGGAGGTAAGAGCTCACAAGGCTGTGGAGCTCCCAGGTGCCAGCCTCAGGGCAGCCCCTGCCTGCCTGTTCTTTATTTGGGCATTGGCTCAGCAGAGGGAGTTCCTGACTGTTGTCTGCACCTGCGTCCATCTTTTATCTTCACCTTGATTGCATGTTGAGCTTAGTAACTACTTAGAGGAATACATTTCTGACCTTTGTCATGTGTATGATTTTCTGTGTTTTTGGAGATGGGGTCTTGCTAGGTTGCCTGGGTGCCAGAGTCTCCTGTCTCAGCCTCTTGAGTTCCCGGGACCACAGCATGTACTACGGTGCCAAGTTTGTCAGTGATTTCTCCATGCTCTGCATTTCACAGCTCTGTGGGCCTGAGTTCTGGCACTGCTGCCTCAGTGGCCACAGTCTGAGCTGGGCCACCTGCCTCACTGTCCTCTGTGGCAGTACGCTTTGTTCCCTTCCGCCAGGCACTTCTGGAGCCAGCAGTGCTCGCAGGCGGACCCCCATGCTGTGCAGAGAGCAGCTGGGCAGATCCTGGCACGGCCTTCGTGATCACTGCAAGCGGAACTGCTCAGAGCAGATGCCTGCTGTTGAGCTCTCCGGGTGGAGCTGTTCTTCTTTCCCAGCTCTGCACTTTACTCTCTGGACCATGCTGATTAGAACTGCATAGCCAGGACATGGTAGTGACTATTGGCCTCATCCCTTGGCAGGTACAACTGAGGCAGGGTTCGTGTCATTGGAAGCTCTTTGGAAGGTTCTGGGAGGAGACAGCCATACCTCAGGGCATGCTCCATGGCTCTCCTCTGGTTTCTGAGAGCACCTGACCTAGCACCAGCCAACCCTCTCCCTCATCTTTTTTTTTCATATGTTTTAGATATATATCATGATCACATTTATCATAGGGAATGTGTCATATATATGATATATTTTGCTACTTTTTTCCCTATTCCCCTCCCCTTTAACCCTATTTCCCCTCCTTATTTACAAAAGCCTTATTTCCTTTTTTTTTCCTTCTATATTTTTTACTTTTGAGTCAGGGTCTCACTGTGTGGCTAGGCTGTCCTCTCTTAGAAACTCTCCTGCCTCAGCCTCCTGAATGCTGGAATCATGGGTGTGCCACCATGCTTAGCTCTCCCCATCTCTTCAGGCCCCTTCTCTGGTGTTTTCTGGGCAACAGCAGGGTCTGACTGCACGCCTATTTCCTATTTGAGGAACACTCCTGTTACAGGTGTCTGTATGACACCTGGTGATGACACACCCTCTCAGGTGTCACCTGCAATGCCCCTTCTCTAGAGCTAGAGCCCCAATTGTGATGACAGGCCTGCCACTGCCCAGGGACACTCTCGTGTCATCATAGGCCTGTCACTGTGCTCTGGGCACACTCCTGTGCTCACAAGCCCATCACTGCCTGGGGTGATGGCCTTTGCAACATCACAGGCCTGTCATGCTGTCTAGGGCCACACATGTTGCACTGTCTGTGGCTCCTGAACTCTCCCAGCTTCATTGCCAGTCACTTTCTCCCCACTTTTGTGTGGTGCTGTGGATGGAACCAAAGGGCTGACGCATACTAGGCAAGAGCTGCACCACTGAGCCATGCCTGCATCCATGGTTTATTTCTTTATTCAGTTTTGAGATAGGGTCTCTCTCTTACCATGTGTGGCCCAGGATGGCTCTGATGCCTGCCTCAGCCTGCTGAGTCCTGGGATTACAGGCAAGCACCACCATACCTGGCTTCCCTTCCATGGATTTTGTTGTTTTGCAGTCCTGGGGGTTGAACCTAGGTGCTTGCTCTGAGCTTTTCTTTAAGCGGGTCTCACTATGTTGTCCTGGCTGGGCTAGAACTTGAGTGCCAGGATGAGCGGAATCGCTACGGTGCCAGGCCCACCAGTTCTCTCAGACACAAATGGTGCACTAAGTAGGAAACATTGCTCATAATTTTATACTGATTATGTGTGGAAGTGGTAACATTTTGGGTAGGCTAATTGATTTTACCCTTTTTTTGAAAATATGGCTCCTGGGGCATCTGAGAGGAGTATATACTTCTCAGATGAAGAAATACAGTAGCAAATATATGAAAAAAATGTTCAGCATTATTGATCATCCCAGAAATGCAACAACACTGAGATTCCATCTCACCCTAGAAAGAACAGCAGGAGTGGTTGTGGAAAAACAGAACCCATCTCCACTGTTGGTCAGAGTACAGACTGGTGCAACTGCTGTGGAAATCAGTATGGAGATTCCTCAGAAAGTTAGTGTTATAGGCCCCATTCAACCCAGCTGTTTGTTCCCTTTCTGGGTGTTTTCCCAGAGGAACTGAAAACATACCACAGTGATATGTATACCCATGTTTATAGCAGCATAATTTGTCATTGCTAAATCTTGGAGATGACCGAAATGCCCATCAACTGAGGAAGGTATAAAAAATATGTGAGGGGGCTGGGATATAGCTAAACAGCACAACAAGCTCCTGCCTGACAGATGGAAGGCATTGAGTTCAGTTCCCACTATCTGAAAAAAAAGATGTATTTTTATACAATGTAGCATCACTAAGCTATAAAGAAAGGTAAATTCAAGACTTTTATAGGCCAATAAATGCAACTAGAGACCATACACTTAAGTGAAATAAACCAGACCTGCATGTATAAACATCATATTGTCTCCCTGGTATAAGAAACAAAGAGTAAACAAAACCAAAAAGTAGAGTAGATATTGTGAAAGAGAAGAAACTGCTGAAAAGGAAAGAACTGGGATGAGGGAAAGGAGAAAAAAGGGGGGGGGGAACGTGTATACACAAGGTAGCTAAGATAATTGTACTAATTTTTATTGGTTTATTGAAAAGAGCAGTTAATGTTTTTTTTTTTAAATTTTTTGACCAGCTTTGCATGCTTGTATCTAATAATCTGAAGTTATTTTGATAACAGTATGCAATATAACAACCAGTATTGATTTCCTATCTTGTTTTGAAATTGTTTCATTTTTAGTGTTGTTTTATTTTTATTCTCTTTAAAATAAAATGACTCCTAAAAAAATTTTAATGATATACATGATAACTGCAGCCTGTAGGTTACGCGTGTGACTTAAAGTGATGTCTGTGGCTGGTGCTGTTTCTGTTGGATGGAGTGTGCTTGGCTAAATGGTCAGAGCGGCTGGCTCAGCTTTCCCGCAGACCCTGGGCAGCCACCCTGCCAGCTTACTGTGTCTCAAAAAAAAGATTCAAAGGCTTTTCCTTGGGCATTAGGAAAATTGTTCCTTAATGTTTCCTTGAAATAAAATATCTTGGCTTTTCACAGCTGCACAATTGGAAATATTTTTTGATTACCTTTTTAAAAATCTCTTTTCCCCTTGTGACAGGTTGTCCTTAAATGCCCTTGCCAACTTCCTGAGACCTTTCTATATCTTCCGCCTAGTGTGGGGACCCTTCTAAATCTGAGTCTGGGCAGTGAGGATCATTTTCTGAATGAGCTAGTCACTCTGCACAGGCTGTGTTGTCAGGAGCCTTAAGTACCAGCTGTGGTCAAAATATATGGTGACTTGTATTTTAATTTTTAAAAAATATATTGCCATAAAAGCCACATTACCATGCATCCTTTTCAGAAAACTCCCCTAGTTTCAGTCACATCTTCATTCTTGCTGCTTTCTGTCGCAGCTCTGGAGCTTCTTGCTGAATGTCTTTAGAAGGTATGATCAAAAATAGTGAGAGCTGGGCTGAGGAGATAGCTCAGCAGCTTAAGCACCTGCTGGCAAGTGCAAGGTCCTGAGTTCAATCCCCGGTATTGCAAAAAAACAAAACAACAACAACAAAAAAAACTGTTGCCGATTGCCTGCCAATGGAAAGACAGCTCATAAAAACATGATGCTGTGTCCTCATCTACCGTATTCACCAGATCTGGTACTGTGCGACTTCTGGCTCTTCTGCAAAGTCAAGATGATCATGAAAGGTGATTTTAAATCCATTTAGCACATCAGGGCAGCCGCCAATGGCACAACTAAAGACAGGAAAAAAAACTCTGGAGCTCCTGCAGAAAGTCGCAAGAATGGGGGGATGAGTGTGTTTGAAGTCACAGTAGCATATTTTGAGGAAGAGGGAAAAATACACATTCATGGCTCTGTATTTCACTATAATAAATTTTTAAAAATTAGTTCACCATTTTTTTCTGTCATACCTCAGATGTTTAGAGTTTAATAATTTAGTCTTTTAGTGTCCAAGCTGAATGATGTAATCACTGTTGTATTTTTCACATTTTGTAAAACAGGGTCCTAGCATATTGTGTTCGTTACCTAACTTTGTTTTCAGTTTTTAGTATCAGCAACAAAGTAATTATTGAGTAATTTCTCCTTTTTCTTTAGGCTCTGATATATGCATTTTCCTTTGTTTTAGAGAGCATTGCTTCCCAAATTCCTCATTCGAGGCCACCTCAACTCCACCAACTGTACAATCACACAGCCACTGACGGGCGAGCTGGTGGTAGAGCACTCGGATGCTGCTATCCGGAGCATTGAGCTGCAGCTGGTCCGCGTGGAGACGTGCGGTGAGTCCCTGTCCTCTGCCTGTCACCCTGGTGTCATCAGTCATTAAAATGGCATGGGTGAGCCACGTATGATGGTGCACACCAGTAATCCCAGCCCTCTGGGAAACTAAAGCAGGATGATTGCAAGATTGAGCCCAACCTAAGAAACTTAACAAGGCCCTATAGAATAATAATAATAACAATAATATATATACATATATATATATATATATATTATATAATTTTTTTTAAAGCTGCAGATTTCAAAAACAAAAAAAATAAAGCTGCAGATGTTGCTCTGTGCAGAAGTCATGGGTTTGATTCCCAGTACTGGGGGAAAAAAAAAGATGACCAGGTCTGTCAGTTGCAATGAAAGTCTCAGGTTTGTTTTCTGTTACTATAACAAATTATCTGAGACTGGAAAATGTATATAAAGGCTTATTTGGCTCACAGTTCTAAGGGCCTCAAGTTCCTAGAATGCATTTGGCAGCTAAGGGCCTCAAGTTCCTAGAATGCATTTGGCAGGGGCTATCCTGCTATGCCACTTGAAGCAGGCTATGTCATTCAGGGAAATGGAGCACGTGGGCCAGAGAAAGCTCACTTTTACTGATTGACTGATTTTTCTGAGATAGGGTCTCACTATGTAGTTCAGGCTAACCTTGAACTCACTATATACCCAGGCTGGCTTTGAACTCTGATCCTCCTGGGTTACAGGTGTGCAAAACCACTTACAGCATGGCCATTCCCTTTGAGGTCTCACTGATCCACACTTGCCTGTTGCCTCCTAAAGCTCCTGTGTGGTTTGTTAGAGAACAGTTGAGTGGCAGGTTGGTATACTGTCTGGAACACTCTAGAGCTAACTGGAGAACACAAGTGTGTCAGTGCAGATGGTGCAGAGCCAGCCAAAAGGTCCAGCGATACAACTGATGTATCCTGATGCGGTGACATTTCCTCCCCAGGGTGTGCAGAAGGCTACGCCCGCGACGCTACAGAGATTCAGAACATTCAGATTGCTGATGGTGATGTCTGCCGGGGCCTCTCGGTGCCAATTCACATGGTCTTCCCCAGGCTGTTCACCTGCCCCACGCTGGAGACTACCAACTTCAAAGTGGGTAAGCAGCACAGGCTGGATCCATGCAAGGGATCCTGGGAAGTTAGGGCCCTCACAGAGGCCGAATCAATGCTGCTGTCCCAGCCGGCTTTCGAGGACAGTGGTGCTTATATTGTCCTGCTCCTGTAGAGTTTGCACCATCACAGAGGTTCATCATGTCACTGCAGGCTTGGTGAAGACAGCCAGCTTGAGTGAAGGTCAGGCCAGCAGAGGTTGGTGTAGATGGGGTGGGGCTCCAGCAAGACCTGGAGTGAATGTTAACTGCCAGGAATGCTCTGATAGCCTACAGCGCACTGTGTGTCTGCCTCTGCCATGACTGTGTGTAAAGATTTGAGCACAAGGCCTGAACCATGTCCTGCACATGGGTTTTGTATCCCACTTTTTGCTCAGGCACCCACCTGCTACTGTTCATCAGCTCTTCATTGTTTGACTGAATACCTGTGAGAAACAACTTAAAGGAGGAAATCTGTATTTTGGCTCTGGAGGTTGCAGTCCATGGTCAGCTGGTTCCAAGGCAGAAGGGCCTCACAGAAGAAGGCTGCTCACTCACAGCAGCCAAGATGCAGAGAGCCAGAGAGGGGACGGTGCTGGGGGCGGGCACAACCTTGAGAGGCATGCCCCACGTGACTGCCACCTCCCTCTGGGCCCCACCTTCTCATGGCCTGTCCTTGTGGGCTCTGGATGAGTGACTCCATCGATATGGTTAGGGTCCCTGTGACTGTGTCTCCTCTCTAGGTCTCACCTCTGAACATAAGAGACTTAGGGTAGACAACTAGTTCTCTCCCGTAACAGTGGTTTTCCTGCATGCCTGAGGCAACACCAAGTGGGACCTAGCACAGAAGCCCAGGTGGCACCTGAGTGCTCCCTCACCATTAGAGCTTGTGTGTCCCTAGTAAGCCTGGCGTTCGGGTCCTGCTGCTCTGTGCGAGTGTGCATGAGCCCTCTCTCTCCTTGTCCGCAGAGTTTGAGGTCAACATTGTAGTGCTGCTTCACGCTGATCACCTCATCACTGAGAATTTCCCGCTGAAGCTCTGCCGCATGTAGCCCAGGAGCAGGGAAAGCACACGGCCAGAGGGGTGGCTTGCCCGACTGCCAGGGAGCCGAGGCCAGCAGCACATACTGTTTCTGTGATTGTTCTGTATCAGAAATGAACCGACTTCCTTCTGTCCCCTTGAGGCTGCTGCTTTGCACAGGCACCTGCTGAGACTGCCTGTGGGAGGTGCCAGCAGACTGCTTGTGCTGGCTCCCCAAACCATGTTGCTCTTAGCTCCAGGAAAGCAGTTTGTCTGCAGCTTGAGTTTTGCTGGAAAGGGACATCCTAGGGACAGGAGAGAAGCCCCTCTGAATGCTGATGGCAGAGGGTCTGGTCTGGCCAAGTCACATGAAGGGTGCTGGCCTTGTACAGTTACTTGTGAGGTGAAGGTTGCTGTCCAGGGAGGCATGCCCAGTGCACCCACTAGAAATGTGGAGCTTTTCTCCTCTATTCTGAAGTTCTCTACAGCATTTTTCATTGTTATGTCCCCTTTTTAGGGGCCTGGAGTAGAAACATTCTGTGCTTTCACAGGCCCAAGGGGGTTTGGCACCAGTGGCCGGAATTGGATGTTTGCAGGCTCCAGAACTGGCTCACACTCTCATGCTGCCGTATTCCCAGAGGAGACTGTGTTTCCACTCTTGTTCCAGGGTGGTGCTGAATGGCAGCAGCCTCTGCAAAGGGCAGGTGGTAAAGGTGCCTCTCCATGGGAGGTACCAGCTGTGCCCTTGGCCTGCTGGGCTTGGGCTGCCCCGACCCACCCAAGGGACTGAACTTCCAGCCAGGCTTTTCCTCAGCCTTGTACCCTAGCTGATGGACTATGGTGAGTCTGTGCTCTAGGTTTCCTCCTTGGGTCCTGCCCTCATCGAGATGCCAGTAGAGCCCTGCTACCTGCTGGGCACACCAGCCTGCCCTCTAGAGGTGCTGCTCATGCCAGGCTGGCTCATGCTGAAGGCTTCAAGTTATCCCCATGGCCCTACAGCACCCTGCTCAACTTCGCTGGGGGGTTCACCAGTGACACCGCAAGTCTGAGCTGAGTCATCTGAGAACTGGCTCTCCGAAAATACGTTTCTGGCTTGTAAATCTTTTATACTCACCCGACTGCCATAATTCTCTGTCCTTGGTGATGTCTTTAAACACAGAAGTCAGAACAAAGAGGCCATGTTTTGTGGGAGATTTGTAAAGAAATCATTTTTAATGAAATAAAGTTTTACTCTAAAACGTAAATGAAATTTTGAGAAAAGTCTTGGAATGTACATATTGTGCACTTTAGATAAACCTGGTGAGGAATAATTATTACCTAAAGTGACAGCTTAGCTACCTTTGTGCTTTCATTCACTCCCAAGCAGCCAGGTAAGGGATAGAGCTGGCCACCCCCCTCCACTTCACCTGACATCTCCACACCTGTTATTATTGCAAAGCTCAGGTGTTTGCTGTCTGGGACAGTGGCTGCCCTTGCTGGCTAGAGCTGGTCGTAGCCATTGGCCCAGCCTCAGGAGTTACCAGAGTCTCCATTTGACCAAGAGGAACTAGGAGAAGAAGGAAAGAAAGCTATGAACTGTGAATCCAAACAGTATTGTTCTGGAATTGCCTTTTAGAGGAGGAACACATTTTTGTAATTACTTAAAGAGAAACGGGGCCTAGCTCTACTTAGCTCTTAGCTGCATTGTGGGTTGTGGGTAAAGGTAAGGCCGCCCGTTAGAGATGACATGTTAAAAAGAGCCAGAGCCCTGGGCCTGACCTCACCTAACATAGGCCTCTCCTCACCCAGGGCCTGTGTCCTGACCTTGGCAGCCTAGCTGGTTCTGCCATCCCATAAGTCATGGTGTGAGTCTGAATTTCCCTGTAAAAAGGCAAGGAGCAAACAACCTCAACATGCTGGCAGTGTCACAGCACTGCTCAGATTGCCAGTGGTGTCCCCAACATTCCACTGTACAGTTGGGGCTAGATATTGCAGAACCTACAACTGTGGTTTCAGACTAATGTCCTAAATGCCTCTGCAATAGCCCTGGTCATGCAACAGCATGGAGTCATGTGACAGCACCAAACAAGTGAGAGTATGGCCTCATCTGTACCATAGTGTCCCTAGCAGAACATGCGTAGCACAAAAGTGGCGAGAGAAAGGTTTCCATGCAGCAGAGCCACCAGATGGTGGGCCCCAGTTCTACTGTATGTCAGTGTAATAGCCCAGGTCCATAGTCCACACTGCCCCAGGGCTATGTCAGGGCAGGAGTCCCCAGGTTTCAACCCTGCCCATCCTGTCATACATGTACTCATGGGCTGCTGTGGACTTCAGGCACCTGAAGACGAGTCAGCAGGAAAGGGAGGACAGGACTTGTTCAGTAACAAGTCTCGTAAGTTGTAGTTACCCACTTGACCTCCTAATTCCTGTAAAGAAATTACAAAGAAGTAGGCACCAGAGTCCTGTTCTTGATGGGTCCCAAGTAGAGCCCTAAACCCTTCTCATTGGCTTACGAAGAATTCATTGCCCTTCCTCCATACACCACTGTAAGGGGGTCTCGAGTTCCCTTTTAGTCTGAGCCACTACACTCTCAAGCAGAGGATTAGGAGATGCTCCCTACCATATGTAACTTTTCTGGCTCTACTGTCTGAGCTGTCTTTTTGGATGATCCATCTCCTAGAGTGCTACCTTGGTGAATTACCCTTTTCATTGTCCCTGCTGTGATAACTGCAATCCTGAGGTAGTTCCAGAACAAACCCTTTGGGTTTTAGAAGGTTTCCATCCCAGGCTTCTATTTTGTTGCAGTTATCCTGTCAATACTTCCATCATAGCAGCTGGGGAGATGGCTGAGTAGAATAAGCACTTCCCTGGCAAGCGCAAGGGCTGAATTTAATCCCTGGTTCCACCAAAAAAAAAAAAAAAAAAAAAAAAAAAAAAAAAATTCCATCATGGTACAGTGTTGATACCAGCAATGTGAGGTTTTTCTTTCTGTATGCAAGGCCAATGTTAAATTTTTCAGAAATCCAAAGATTGTACTATACAATTCTCTTTTAAAGTTGCATTTCATTTGGAATTTCTGCTTTGTTCCTGTACACAGTTTCTATGCTGGTCAACTTGTGCTCAGTTAGCAAAGGTAGTTATCAGTAGCAAACTAGTAAACCATTTGTCAAATGTCACATTCTGATTAGCAGATGGGAGCAACAAGTCTGCTCACATCATTTTTTAATTTTTTCTCATTCATTTTGTTACTATATAAATAGGAATGTGATGGCTGAGTTCCAGAATAAAGCTCTACATTGAAAGCTTAAGTCTTTACATGTACAAGGGCATACATTTTTATATTTATATATGGCATCAAATGTATATTATGTATATATAGTAGAAAGTTTTCTTCTTCTGTATCTGGTACAGGGTCTCACTACGCAGCTCAGACTCATAGTGATCCTCCTGTTTTCAACATCCCCACACCTAGGATTATAGGCATGCATCAACACACTCTGTCTTGGTGGCTGGTTCAGCGCACCCCAGGCCAGGGCTGGTACAGCATGTGGTCCCAGGGATCAAATTCCAGTCCCTGTACTTGCCTAACCAGGCGCTTAGTCCACTGAGCTACCCTGCCACCCCCTTTTTATGCCATATTTTGGGTCATTACTCTTCCATCTGTCTTTTACATTCCTGTTATTACCATGAGAAATACCTGCTAAGTATAACAGACCAATGAATGCTTTCAGTTCAGCTAGTGAGATGTCATAATGTATTTTTTAATACGGTTGTTCATACATACAGAATGTTTTACTCTGTCAACCTTTGTGTATTTTACAGCATCTTGTAGCATTTCATCTCCTAAAAATTTCAACACTGCCATTCTGTCCAATATCATTTATCACTGCCAAGACTTTCACTATATTTTCAGACCTAGTTCTAACATTGGATCATTCCATCTGGTTGCATGGCCATTTCCCAACATTTCAACTAGCCAAACATACATTGCTATTTCCTTCATAATCTGAAATGAGGTCTTCATTTCCTGTGTCTGTATCAGTGGACTCTTGCTCCATTTCACTGTCACAGGAACTTTGGCTCACATGGTCAACATCAAAGTTGTCATCACCATCCACCCACACCACTCTTCTGTTAGAAAAGCATTTATTTTACCATATTGGGTCATCTTCATCATCCATGCATGAGTAACCTGATGATTCACTTTCAACCTCCAAAACTTGCAAATCAGGTTTTTCATGTGTCATTGTACTGAACTGGACTCTTCTACCAGAAAAAACAAAAGAAACCTTTTATAAAACAATAATCATGGCCGGGGAGATGGCTTGGTGGAATAAGCGCTTCCCTGGCAAGTGCAAGGGCCTGAGTTCGCTCCCCGGTTCCACCAAAAAAAAAAAAAAATAATAATAATAATAATAATAATCATGGAGAGGTATGGTCTGTTGGACCCCCTGAGATGATCCAGTAAATGCATGCAAAACAAAGTGACAACATAAGGTGAGTAAAAATCCTGTTTTACTGCTTTTGGAAATGTACACCTTGTCATTCCTCATACCAAGTGAATAAACACAAAGATTGCTTCCTGTATCCCTCAGGGAAAAGTACTGAGATGCACAGCTGGCTACTATGCTAAATTGTGTAACAATAGAAAACTAAGGATGGGCCCGCTAGACCCAGTCTCATGTACCTGGCCTCAAACTCCTGCTGACATTTTTTATTTCAGCAAAGTGGCTCCCTTTCTTCACTTTTTAGAGCTTCATAAAATGGTCTAGCTAATGCCCCCAATTGGGTATCCATATTCACCACCAGTCGGCCATACTGCAGTCATGTTCCTTCAAGTCTGAAGAAAAATTATACTCAGTAAATTCATCCCTAAACTTACCAAGAACCTTGGAGAGACTGCTAAGCCTTTCTTTACACCAAGCCATGTCTATCACTGGGAAGTGAACGTGTATTCTGATAACTCTTCCATCCTCACCTGACACTTCCTGCAAGAGGAATACAGGAGCCTTGGTGAAGCGGGGCAGTAGTTTATTTTTTGGTCTCAAACCCACTGGGGAAGGGTTGCTGGGATAGGAGCTGACAAGACGGGAGCTCTCAGGGAATAAATGTAATTTAGGAGAAAAAAACTCAAGTTTGTTTACAAGTCAGAGAGTAGCTGGGAATTGGGTGCCCCCAGCAGCATCCTGGGCAGGGGTACAGATACCTGCTGGAGAAGTGCTGGTTGAAAGCAGGGGTTTGTGAGGATACCTGTGTCAGGGGCTGTGGAAATTGCAGCCACAGTCTAATGAGTGCCCAAACCTATGGTCCTACCTATATTCATAAAAATGTAGATTAAAGGGATAACTGACTACTTCCCTTTCACATAAGTTAGCTGGACAATGGTATTAGAATTCAAAAATGAAGTCTCTGACCAGTGTTCTTGGTTTCCCAATTTGTACAGAGGCAAGGGTGTGTTAGAAAACATCAGCCTCTTTTTCTTACACCATTTTCCTTAAATGTGCCCCAGTTAACAAAAGATACCCCAGTAGTGATTCCTTGGGAATACTGTGTCATTCCCATTAGAGAGACCTTTACCAGACAGAGGAACCCAGAATTGGCACCATCTGGCTAGAACCTGGCATAAGAGCTACAGCAGCCAAATACCACAATTAAGAGCCCTTTTTTAGTAGACTTTCAGTATCTCTAAGAGAAATAACAGCAGCAAACAATTACAATAGGTGAGATTATAACAATAGTCAATACAACAAAAATACCAGGGTAGTTCTTTTCCAGACAGGTACACAATCCAAGTAAATCACAAATCACTGGCACAGATACAAGAGCTATACACAGGATAAACAAAAGAAGGTCTGAGAAACTCAGGACACCCCCCACCCCCAGAAAATCTTTTCCAGTAGGAAAACACCCAGTGCTTTCTAGAGCCAGAAAACCAGTGAAGCCTGGTATATTGAAGCTCATGTACTAAAGAAAGCCATAGAACTGAAGAACAGAAGAGGTGCAACCTGTCTAGCATTCAGTTAAGTCTGGTTAACCAAGCCAAGTTGGCCACAGGCTGAATGCATTCTACTGCCGGATACCTGTGCAGAACCACAGACACTGTGCATAACCTCACTCTAGCCTCCTGCCATGTCTTCACACATGGATAGGGCAGTTGGCCTCAACCCACCTTTTGGCAGGTGTCTAGAATGTTTCTGAATAACTCACAAATCAGGACCAGAAATGTGAGGAATTTTAGTAAAAAATGACAGCGCAGATCATACGGCCCCATCTTTTTTGTTTGGGTTCTGTATAACAGATTTTGATTCTCTGCTCACAGTAGAAACAAAGGGTTACAAAATAGGAGTCAGAAAGAAAAAGAACCTGTTGCTAGTCAATCCTGTTGAGACAAGCACACAGCATGCAGTAAGCCTAAAATCTGGCTCTATGCCATCATAAGCTCATATTCTCTTGTGTCATTTTTAACTGGTGCTATAATATAATAAGTGAAACAGTTAACAAATTAATTATATGGTGCCAATCCATCTTTCAGAATTGATGGAGAAATAAGATACTTCCTTAATAAAGAGTGCCTAAAGGAATATATGACCACCACACCAGCACTCCAAAACATTCAAGTAATAATTTAAAAAATAGGTCTAATAGAATGTGTACACCAGGTAGGGGGAGGAGTTGAGTAGAAAGAAAATAAATTGAATCAACAATAGAAAAATAAGGCAAAGACAGGAATAAGTCATCACCTATCAGTAATAACTCTCAGGGTGAATGGTTTCCATTCCCCAATCAAAAGATACAAATTGGCAGAATAGATCAAAAAAGTTGAATGGTATACTATATAAAAGAAGCATCTTTAACCCAAAAATAAGCACACAGAATAAAAAATCAAAGGATGTAAAACAGTAATTCATGCAATGAGATTCCCTAAGAAAAGCAGGTATAATCATCCTATAAAGAGGCACAGAAGGTCACTACATATTGGTTAAAGGAAGATCCAAAACGAGAGAACAATTATTCATCTATATGCACCAAACAATGGTGCACCCAACATCATAAAACAAGTACTACTGGATTTAAAAGGTCAAACACACACAAAACATAGTTATAGCAAGGGACCTCAATACTCCTCTGTCACAAAAAGATCAACTAGATTTAAAAAAAAATCAAATATCAGTTAAACAAAACCTTTAAACAAAGGGACTTAATAGGTATCAATAGTGTTCTACCTGACAACAGAATACACATTCTCAGCAGCACATGGACTTTCTCCAAAATAGACCTCATACTAGCCAATAAAGCAAGCTTAAGTATATGCAAGAGTTCAAGTTATACTATACATATTATCAGATTAGCATACAATAAAACTAGAAATCAGTTGCAAAAGAAAACAAATTATTTTTTTGCGGAACCGGGGATTGAACTCGGGCCCTTGCACTTGCCAGGGAAGTGCTTATTCTACTGAGCCATCTCTCTGGCCCAAGAAAACAAATTATACGGATGTATGGAAATTAAATAATGTGTTATAGACGAAATCAAGAGATAAATAATACAGTTTGTAGAACTAAACAACTTCAGTACAACATATCAAAATGTATGAGACACACGGGGCCAGGGAGATGGCTCAAAGTTTATATTTGTAAATCTCCAAATCACAAAAACAGCCAGCCCAAATAAATAACCTAATGATGCACCTCAAAGCCTTAGAAAAATAACAATCCAAAGTTGGTACAGGACGGAAATTATAAAGATCACAGCAGAAATCAATGAAATTGATAAAAAAAATCAATGACTCAAGGAGTTGGTTCTTTGAAAAAATAAATGAAAAATACAAATCTTTAACCAATCCAACTAAAAAGAGAAAGAAAAGACCCAAATTGATGCAATTAAAAATGAAAAAGGTAAGCTGGG